TTACATTCGATGAGAAGAATTGTCGTAGGGTGACGTGCTGTGTAATGGGGGGAGGGGGGTTAGATACAGGTACCGTAGAAGAGGACGAAGATGGGATTTAGATATCCACGAAGAAAGTAACAAACGAACGAGAGGAGAAATAGAAATCAAATCTATTTTGAAATAATGAAAAACTATGAAGATTGTCAAATGAGTACTGAACGTAGAAGAAAAGAGACAGTAGGCGTCTAGCTGAAATTAGAAAAATAAATAAATAAATAAAGGTAAAGAAAAAGGGAGATAAAGAAAGGAAAAAAAATATTACTTTGGAATTAGCGTTATCGTTGGTGCCACTTTCTTTGTGAGATTAATCGGTGTGCATATAATTTTTCTTTGAAGGTAAAAAGAGTGTCAGAGAAAGAGAGAAAAAGAGAGGAAAGGGTAGCTTCGAGAAAGGGGTGTTTCTTTCGACGCGTCTTGCAACAAACGGTTCGGCTAATTACAGGGAGGCCGCAGCACCGTGTAAAGCAACGGCAAAGGCAGCTGTCGGTTCTGGAGCTTCCGCGGTTCTCGGCCTTTAACGCATGTACACACACACACATATATATATATATATATATGTATATATTATGTATATATTATATACATATATATATGTCGAGAAGGTTTTTGCTTACGAAAGTTTAGAATTCTCGTGTCTTTGTCATCGTCCATTCGAAGATTACTACCACCACCGGCACCAAGATGGCAGCCAGAATATCCGCTTGAGGATCTGAACCAGAAGCTTGCTTCGAACGTACGTAACGTTTTATTTGTTTTTACAGACAGCACTCTCTATCCTAAGCTGTGATCTCTTAGTTTCTTCTGTGCTTATACTAATAATAATATTAACATTAACATTGTGTGTCAGCCTATAACCGTGAGATGAAAAGTAACACTGTTCCGATATAACCGATCTTTTATATTTTTTCTCTTTTTTCTTGTTCTTTTTCTTTTCCTTTTTATATTATTTTTTGTCTATATTATTAAATAATTAATTTTGCAGCACATAAACAAGATTTTATTATTTATATTAAAAATTATAATATCTTTCTGTCTGTCTTTCTCTTTTGAACGTTCATTTTATAAATAAAGCCTAAAAATTTGTATAAAAAAAATGTTATTAAAGTAAGGTGCAAGGTTATAATGATAAACGTCGAGAGAAAGGTCATCTTATTGTTTTATTCGCAAGACATGGTTCATCATCCCCTTGGCAGGACGCTGACACGATAGGGAGAGACCGACGACTGTTTCGTAACCCCTGCCAAGATAATACGAGAACATTCAACTCCCTCTTTCAAGGCCCTTCCTCCCCTCCCTACCCGACATCACCACTACCCTCTTTTCCACCCTATGCTCGCTCAACGGGCGGTCGAGAAGATTTCAACCTTTAGCGAAATGCCAAGCTCGCCTCTAAACGGGCTAATAACGTTGCTCCCTTTCTTCATATACTATACAGATACTATTACCTTCTTCGTGCCTTCAATTCTCTCTCTCTTTCTCTTCATTACCGTCTTTCTCTTTCCATTATACTGGTTACCATCAAAAACGAACCACTGAAACAAGACTCGTAGTCGATGCCAAGATAATCATTCAAAGTTAAGCAAACTAATCGATTTCGAAATAAATGTTTATCTAAACAAATATATACACAGGTCTATAAGAATTATTATTAATAAAATATCAAAATAATAATTAATGATACAAAATGTGTTATTTCTTTGAAGCGATGATAAATTTAAGTCGTTAAATATATATAAAGGTAAATATAATGATTATAGATCTAAAGAGAGAAATAATTATTGTAAATATAAAACAAACAAAATATATACGGTAAATACAAAGTGTTATTTTGAAAATTAAACAAATGAACTTTTATTTATATAATTGAATTAATAAAATATTAATTTCTATTTATTTGAGTACCTGTAAAGTTAAATTGTTTTCGATTGCTAATAGTAATTTCTTGTTATCCACGCGTATGTATATATTGTACCAAGACTCATGCACATGTATTCTCGAGGATGATGGGTGTGGTAGAGTTCGCGAAGGAAAAAGAGAAACGCTTGTAGGAACGCCCTCGTTAAACCCAGACATATGCTATAGATTGACACGGTATCTCTTACAAGACGGTCATTAGTCGAATGAGCAAAGGTCTTACGAAGTACCTGCGTAAATATCCGTGGGACTGGCCGGTCATCAATCATCTCGGAGAATCGTACGAACGAACTGAACTTGCAAAGGCTCGCCTCTTTATACTTTTTTTTTTTTTTTATTTAATTTACTTTTCATTTCTTTTTTATCTTTTTATTTTGCTTTTAAGACGTCGGAAAGACAAAAGCAAATTACTTTCTTCCAAGCTAATTCCTTTTGCCTTTTTACATTGTATCTTTGTTTTTTTTTTCTAATTTCATCATTTTAAACGGTTATTCATTTTGTTTTTAACAATTGCAATAGACAAAAATGAGAAAATATTAATCACAATTCGATATAAAGACTTTGAGAAAAATAATGCATTGGGTTCTCGCATGCATCCACAAAATTATTCAAACAAAGTCACCGTATATTTGTATTCCGATAATGTTTTTTTCAGTCATGTGTAGAATAAAAAAAAAAGAGAAAAAGAAAGAAAGAAAGAAAGAGAATGTCATCGAAGATAAAGGTTGCCGATAAGGTGACACGAAGGGAGAGAATATTTCCTATATTTGCGATATCATAAGGCTCGGTGGTAGTGTCGGGTTGGGACAGGAGGGTGAGGATGGTCTTGGGCTCAGGTTGGAAGGGTCGTACATGGATAGAACAAGAGAAAGAGAGATAGAGGAAAAAAGAATAGTGGGTTTGGTCGGCTATTCCGTGAGACTGTCTGTCATATTCATGTATTGACACTGAGCTGGTTGACTAATGGACTGCTGTTGTCGCAGTCTCGTGTTACCGCGAACGTCCGGCCCCGCCAAGTCGTTTTTCCTGCGAATCGAGAGAAAGCGAAGCCACAAATGACGAGGACACCCTCACCCTCCCCACCTACATCTATAAATATACGTAAACATATAGGGTGATTCAGTAACTATAGTCAGATGAAATGACTTTTTATTTGATTGAACCTAACGTTCCGACTCACTCGATGCAAATGCGCGTTTAGAAAATTAATAAATTCACGAAATTTTTGTTTCAAATTAATATATGGGACATTGTTATTTCTTTATTTATGCATTTGTTGGATAATATAATAAAAGAACAATTTTATTTTTCGCACCGAGAGAAATAATTCGATCTGACAATAGTCATTGACTCGCCCTGTAGACTCGCACGTGTCTACTCTCTTTTTTTTTTGTTCTCTCTCTTTCTCTTTTTTTTTTATTTCACTCACTCTTCCCTCGCACCACGTATACACTAACCACCATCGAATATATTTTTCACGGGAGGAAACAATGGTCTACCGGTGTGATTTTTTATTCGCCGATAAAATTCATTTCTTGATACAACGGGTTGATCCACTTAAAAAAACGTCAGGACGAACAACAAAGGATCTCTAAATGCCCCCTTCTCTATCTCTCTCTCTCTCTCTCCCTCTCCCTAACACACAATTTTTTTTATATATAAATCTATCTCTTTTGCTTTTTGGATCATAGCACGATGGAGAGAGAAAAAGAAAGAAAGAAAAAGAGGGGTTAGAGGAGGGTGGGAAGGGTAGGTGGAGGGGGAGGGGGAGTTGGAGCAGCATCGTCGACACGTCACCGAAGGTCTTTCCATTTTTTAATAACAAACGAGGAGTGCGGGGACAAGGACGAGAGCTGGGTGGGGGGGTGTATGGGGTGCACGCTTATTCACGCGTCATTCCACGCGACTTCTACATATTTATCGAGGCTCTCGCGCATTGTGTCCGCGTCAAGCGGGACGTCGAGCTTGCTCGCGAAAATTTCGCGATATTGGAATCGAGTATGGTTGTATGTATGGTTGTATAGATCTATATATGGATGGATATACATATGCGCTTACGAACGTATAGAACACGTACGGATTTGCTCGCTCAGCCAGTTTTTTCTTTTCGTCGAAACCGCTAAACCAGTTGTCGATGTATAACGTTGAAAATCAAAGAATCTCTACGAAGGATAGAGACATCTATCTATCTATCTCTCTATTTTTTTACATAAAAAAAAAGAGAAAAAAATATATATAAAGATATTTATCCATTTTAAATGATCTTTTATTTTACTAGAAGATGCAGGAATCAAATTGGATAATCAAAATGAAGAGGGAGAAGGCAAACCTTAGCCGTAACTATTCTATTACAAACTGATGTCCGATACAAAGTTGCTTTGAGCGATCACCGGTTCCAACACTCCGTTGTCCTCCTCCCTTCCATTAAATGTACCAAGAAGAAGAAGACACTAATGTAAGACTTAGACCGATAGAAATGAAGGAATCAAGCAAGTAACTAACTAACTAACTAACTAACTAACTAATGAACGATAGGAAACAGAAAGTGGAAAAGGAGAAGGATGAAAGACGACAAGTTGCGTTGCAAAGCTTCTTCGAGAATAATAGCATCGTACAAGGTAAGTAATCTACCTGGATCTTGCTTAGACTTTCTAACACGTTGTCTCTATCTACCTATCTATCTATCTATCTATCTATCTAGCTAGCTAGCTTTTTCTATTCCGTTCTTCTCTTGGTGTTCAGTCTCTATGGCTTCTTGATTTATCGTCGAATTAACTCCAGGGTTCGAAAGACAAGCTCGATATATGTGACAACGATGAATAATACAAAACTCGAAAATGAATAAATTAGTATTGAAAGAAATCGTCACAAATGATCGTTCAATGTCGACATAAGAAAGAAGAAGAATATGCTGAAACCTTAGAAAATATTCTATATAATATATGTAAAAGTATATATGTACGTATGAATGTATAGTGCAGTATAGTATAGTATAGTCTAGTATGTCAAGGGGATATTGCATCCTCATATCGTTTGCTACTTACCTCGAACTTTTTGCTCGTCTTGAAGCTGGCGTTCTAGGCTGTCCTTCACCTCTCTTTCACGAAGAACGTCCATCTTTAACTCGGCTGTAAATAAAATATGAAAAGTTTATTACCTGTGCATATGTTTAAACGTATTTAAAAAATCATTTCTAATACTACGAATGGAGATTTTAAAAAAATAAATTAATAAATGAGCGATCTATACTTCTATAAAGTAGAAATAATCGATGAGTATATTATAATAAAATTAATTAGTATCAAAATGATGAATTTGAAAATTATTGATGAGAGAGAAAGATAGATAGAGAGTTATATGATAATGACGGTTCTCTCGCGAAGGTTAGATTAATTTGATAATAAGAGAGTCTCGTTCCTATTGGATCCGACCAAAGTATGGGAGAGGTAGAATATCGTACGGTTGGCTGGTCGGACGATTAAATCCAACGGCGATGGGCATGCAAGAGAGCTCGCATAGTTACGTCTAATAGAATTGTATTAAGTCGTCGGATTCGTCCTTTTCCTTCTCTCAAGACATGTTCTCTCTCTCATCTGCTCTCCTATATCCACTCGATCTCTCGCTACGCTTCCAACTTTGAAACTTGGCATATTCCCATGGGAGCCAGCACGCTAAATTAGCCATTTCGAATCTCGACGACAGTTTCTCAGAAGGAGTCTCCAAATACTCTTGCAAACTTGACTACTATACTGCTGACAAGAACATATTCGATAGAAATTTAATAGAAATTTGCCCTTTTTATGCTAAATCATATGAAACAATTTTATTCGTTAACTTTAATCATTCATTTTCAGACAAAATATTATATATATTCATGAGTATTTTTCGAAACTCTTTGATTCTGTGGTTGCTTTCTTGCTAATTCAAAATCACTTTTCAGTTGGTAACGCGATAAAACGTTTTTTGGCCTCTCCAAATCGAGCGGGCTAATTTAGTTTGAAGGAGAGTTAGTTAGGGGAAGAAAAGTGGAGAAAGAATGAAAGAGACAGAAAATTCAGCCCCTATTTCTCTTCTTTTTTCTGCTCGTCTACCTCTCGAATTACATTGGCTCCGAAGCAATGAGCCACGCAGGATACTACGCACGGTCCTTTTCTTTGCGGCTGATAAGTTTCCTTCCTAATGTCAGCGGTAATTGCCCGATATACCGAGATAACTTAGTTTACTCAGGATCGTTATTGTAATTCCTTGTTAAAGAGAGAGAGAGAAAGATATATCTGCTTGGTCGATTCGATTTTGACTTTTACCAGGCCAAGAAAAATGAGAAAAAAAAAGAAAAGAAAGAAAAAGAAAAAGAAGTAGATAACAGTGTTAATAATTTGAATAAAAAATTCTTACGAACCATGAACATCGTCGATTATCGTCTATTCCAATATCAACTTAATCAATCTCGTAGAGTAAGGGATCGTTAAAGATCGTAAAATTCAAACGGTTTACCATTGATATTGAAAGTTAACACGTTAACGGGGGGAGAGGTTCGTTCGAGATGAGAAATTTTGGTATAACAGCACATGGCATCGAAAAGGAGTCGCGATACGAAGGACGAGAAAGGGTGCGAGTCTTCTCGATGAGAAAGGATAAGAGAGTAGGAGACGAAGTAGGAGACGAAAGAGGAGAATGAGGAGGGGGAGGAGGAGGAGAGGAGAGGAGGTGGAGAAGAGAACGATGAGCCTCGGAGAAGAGAATCATGTTGGTAGATTAGGTAGGGCCTGCGTCTCAGCAGTCTGGCAGCAATTTGAGAGCGTTTGCGAGGTCCATTAACGGCGGTAACTCTTCACGACCGGCCGCCACGAAGATTCAATTTGAATGCTAACCAGAATAGGAAGTTCGCGCCGAGGCACACCAACTATATACATATACTTATATATATATATATATATGTATGTAGGTATGTACGTGTGTATGTATACGTACGTCCCATGAACCCCGCGCCACTCTGTTATTGCCAATTTCGGCGCGTTTCTGTAGCCCACTTTGCGATCGTTTAGATTATCATCTCTCTCTCGCGCTGCTTTTGCTTCCTTCCTTCCTTGCTTATACACTTGTTTTCTCTCTTTCTCTTCATTTATTCCTCTCTCCTTTCCAAGGATAATTGAACTTTATTAGAGATCGTCCCTGGAATACCAACCCTTGTATCAACCTCGAAGATCATTCCTCGTATCGATTTCATTCTTAAAATGATCAACGATTATTCACTCTTATTTTCTTTGATTTCTCTTTTTTTGTCGTCATCGATGTCGAATTATCGTTCCGAGATTTAAATGATAATTATCATTTACGATCGTCCAGAGTATTTTCATATACATTTCGTTCCTTATTTGAGTGGTTTTCCCATTCAAGTTTGATTCATCATTCACGAATCCCCAACGAAACGGTGAAATTCGCGAGAAGTTCGTCACGATGAAAAGAAGAAGAGAAAATCAATTATGCTACCGTCACATAGAGAAAGAAAGAGAGAAAAGAGGGAGAAGGAAAATGGCGTTATTGAAATTTGGCCACGGTAAGCATTAAAATTGCACGAATTAATATTAGCACGGTGAATGGGTATGAGAAAAAGCCTTGGAGACCAAAAGAAAAGCGAGCTGAGGATCTCTCCAAAGTAGCGATACGAAACTTCGCGTTTTATCATTCTAACGTCAATTAGAGGAACCCTAATCGTGTCTCGGGTCATAAATCGAGAGTTATATTCTACCGAGTTTTGTGCGAATGGATTTTAAGGAAGAAACCTTTTACCCCTCCTAAATAGAATAAATGTATACCTACATTAGAATTAACTTTAGTTTAATAACATTTCATTTCATTTTTCTTCTCCTATCGTCCTTTAAGGCCTTACATACGACCAGAATTTTCCAAAGATTGTACTATTGTATATAGTACTATACTTATATCAAACAATGCGTACTATTTATTTTTATTAATTTCTATTGTAATCCCTACTATAAAACAATTGTTTTCTTTTAGCGCATTTTTGGCGCTGCTAGACTTATGTAAGGCTTTAACGAATGATTTAAAGAATCTAGTAAATAATTAGAAAAAAAAACAAAATATAGTATTACAATTAATTGCGAGAGAGATTAATGATTAAATATCTAGTTATAGTAGGCGTGATCTATATCATACACATACATGACATAACTCGTGAAGGTTTAATCCGTTCGTAAGGTAAATCCAGTTCTCCTTCTCATTTTCCAACACATACACACATATCATCAGCTCCATCCGAATGTGGACATTATCGGTGTTTAGAATCGATCGGCGATAATAATTTTCACGCTAATTCGAGCCGCCGGCCGCGTTGTAACAATAACGGTGCAACGGAACGTGCATGCTACCGTTACCGAAGCGATTCATGGTTATTGATTAGTATATAGGTGCCAGCAAGAAGACGGTGCTCTGGTTTTGGGGGTTGAAGGCTCGGCTTGGGACTCCGCCGGAGGGAGGGAGGGGACAACTTCGGGGGTTAAGGGTAGGGGGTGGCTTGTATAGCGTTCACATCCCCGGAGGGCTTGTACGACGTCGTGTACACGTATATGGCTTATACCCAAGCGCGCTAAGATATTCGCACGGCCCGAGGCCACCCTCAGAAACAACAATGTCAACTTACCCGCCGTGCCCTGCAATCGTTTGAATAGTATAATGTAGTTTTCGTGTTACCCTGTCGATTCCTTTCACCCTAAAACCTCCTCCTAACTCCCTTCCGCCCACTAAAACCTATGAAACACTTAAATAGAAGATTTATTCACTTCTGAATTTCTTATATTTATCGAGTCTTATTTTTTGTACATATGAATAATCAATTTTGACGTAATAGAGACGATAATTAGATTATGATTAATTATATCTAGTTTAAGAATACACACACACACACATATATATATATATACACGTACATAGATAAAGATAAAATTGGTTAATGTTTCTTCGCAATTCAATTTTAACGGATCAAGAACGGCAATAAAGCGTCGTGCATGGAATTAACCCGTAGGATTATTTCGAGAATTTACAACCTAGGGTACTCACTCTATCTATCTATCTTTCTCTTTCTCGCGATACCACTTAGGTGAATCTTATTTGCATAGCTTCCGCCAGATTCCTTCGTGGAAATTAGAATTTCGAAGATGCGCCGCCGGCTGCGGAATAGCATTTTCTTCGAATCACGAAGGTTACTAATTAATTTTCTAAGAGATATTAGATAGACGATAAGATTTAAGGACATGTATAGTAAACGTTGGCTACATCGACGTTTTACTATAGAATATGCATACATATATATATATACATATAAACCTATTTCGATGGTGCCATTGGACTTTAATAAATTTTCCAATCCTAATCCCGATTAATCTCCATGTTGTACTATTTGCCTAAGGCTCGATTTGAGAAGAGACGGTGTAAGAAGAAAGATAGAGAGAGAGAGAGAGAGAGAGAGAGAGAGAGAGAGAGAGAGAGAGAAAGGGTGTGAGTGAGCCTATAATATTTCTGGGGGTGAGAGAATATTATTGTTTCTACCCTTGAATATTATAGTTGAATAACGATTAAGTGTACATTGGAAAGTTCCTCCAGGCATGGTCCTTACTACATCTAATACTCCTAAAACTTAAATTGTCTTACAATATTATCTATTTTTTACTCTTATTATTTCTAAATAATATGTCTAACAATATTTTCATAATAGAATATATTTCTGTTAATTATTTTCTAATTGAAAAAATTTGTCACCTTTAGTCACGGTCTTCAAAAATAAAATACAATGATATCTCTCATAATTGTATATATATTTGTATTATAATAATTTATTTCTTTTTTTAAGAACTCTATTTATGAATGATGCTTTGATCATGGACTTCCTATTCTACCAAATAGATTTGACTTAGACTCGTTGCGAGAACGAAAGGCAATAGTTATCCCATGCGGATTACAGTCCTTGGCTAAGGACTACAAGGGTTTCCCTCCTGCGGGATTTAAGACGGACTTAGCTCTTGTTCCGGTCGCTGACCACTTTGCCTCCCATTAACCATTAACGGATCTAACGAAAATAGGATTAGATCGCAAGCTAGCTAGCGGAGAAGCT